ATTGTCGTATGAAATTTCATATCGCTTCAATTAATTGCGGTACTGTTATTATATTACAAGTTAGTAGTTTATTGAAACAAAAACTGTGTTTCGATACCTGTGGTGAGCAAAACAAGATAACCCATTGTGTAGTTTTGTGCTTAACGAGAAGTAAAACTAAGTTTATCGAATGTATATATATATTGTGTATATGTGTGTGTGTGTCGTAAAATGAATGTATAGAATTGCCATAGTGTTGAGGTGTGATATGGAATAGTGAAGTTTTTAATGTTATCAGTGGGTGGTGTATATATGAGTGAAACTAAGTTTATTGAATGTGTATGTATGTATATATATATATATATATATGTATATATATATATATATGTCGTAAAATGAATGTATAGAATTGCGAGGTGTGATATGGAATAGTGAAGTTTTAATGTTATCAGTGGGTGGTGTATATAGGATAGTATATAGGTGTCATTAAGGATCACAAGTGGGTATATGTAATAAAAATGCAATATTAATATCGGCGAATTCTTTACGAAAGGGTTAGCATAAAGTTACAAAAAAATGATTTTTCAGTTTTAAAAGTGTAAAATATGGATCCGCCATAACACTTGGTGGAACTTTTGAGTGCACTCTTTAATTTCAAGTAATGACTTGCAATTCTTTCGTTTCTCCAGTGGAATTAAAGAGTTCAGATAAATGATAAGCACAGAAATCTTCGAAAGTCGTATTTCCTAACCATCGAATAACTTGTGTGAAGATGCGATTGTGCCGGAGTGTGGAAATGTGATAATACTTAAGAATTTCAGTGTGTAAAAATAATATGGTAATGTCAGTGTGTGAAGATGTGAGAAAACTATTGCAGGAACTGAGATAACACACTTTGATACAAGAACTGCAAAACAACAACAAAAAACAAGCTGTTGCATCAAGTGAAACAAAGCAAAAAGGAAACAAATTTTGTACAGTAGTTTAAAACTGTAACATAGTGAACTTTAGTTTAATGATCAAAGCAAACATTACTGCCAAAAACATCGTTAACAGCGAGAGTACCCAATTGATCAAACTACATTCTAATCTTTATAAGTAAGAACTTAAGAAAGTATATTTAACGGGTTGATTTTTAGTTCCGCTCTGAGTATCTTCCTCTTATCGGAAGTTGGCGTTAATTGGTATCTGAACTAAAACAATTACTCACACAGGAGGTTATTGTCCATATGCTCTGTAAACGTAGAAAATGATAATAAATATCAGTTACTACCCTTCCTTCATTTAGGCCCTTTGCGTAACGGGCAAGTACCACGCTTAGCATTATATGTTTAAGTTTATATTTAAAAACACACGCTTTTTTCGCTCACACTTGAACAAATTATGTATAGATGATACAGAGGTAATAACTATTTAAAGATTTATATTGTATTATAACTAATTACTTCATTTCTTATTTTAAACTGCTAAGCCTATTTAATTTGTTGATTATTTGTGTCGATAAAAGAATAATTTATTTTCAAGTTTTATTTTTGGCTTTTGGTGCTGTTGGAAGTTTTCTGTATTTTTAATTTTTATGTAATAGGCGATAATAGTTACGTATGGGTTCGCTAGTGCCAAAAATCCTTCATGTTTATTTACACATCACACTTAGAGTGTATTATGAATGTTAGGCCCTTTGTTGGTGTATTTGTGTGTTGCGACATTTGGTAGAAACATTCGTGTTACATTCTTGCAATCATCTGCTATTCTTAACCAACGAATGATAGATCAAGAGAACATAAAATCTGGCTTTTTGCCAGCTTTCGTGCAGCAGTTGTTCTTGGCTATCATTTGTGTCATTTCTCTCGTGAGCCTCGTGGCAGGTGAAAAAAATGTATCTGTGTGTAACAGTGAACCTTCATCATTATGACGTTTACCTGTACATGTTGCCAAGGCAACTCGGGGTTTCGAGTGCGCAGAGAGGCGGTGCCTGTCGCCAGATAGGCTGAAATATTAAAAGATGGACCCTCTGGCATTAAGAACCAAAAAAAGATTTCTTTTGTTTGCGACTTCTCCCCTCTCACTGTGCAATTTTGTTTTCAGATTTTGACTCCCGTGTGTGTCCAAAGCGTAATTATAGTGGTCAGCATTAGAGACTGTTGTCGTGAAATTATTATTTTCTTTCCAAAGAATTTTTCTATGAGATTAAAATGTAAGGTGTTTTCCAGCAAAACTTTTGTCCCCTGTGCGTTTGAAATATTTCACATATAAAAATGATTAAAGAAAAGATAAATTGCATTTCTTTAATATAGCATATTATTTCTAACCAAATAAGTAAGGACAATTGGCTACGACTGCAATGAGTAAGTTACAACCTAATGAAGAAGTGTTAAAGAGTGTCACGTTATTTGTCGACTATTGTATTAAAAGTGAAATTTTAACTAGTTGGTAATTAAAGTGCAACTCATACCGATCATTAGGGTGTGAAACTAATATCATTGCCTTTTTTTTTTTAGTGTGATTCAGATGAATTAATAGTAAAGTCAGTTTAAGTTAAATTGTTTTGTGACATTTGGTAGTTTTGTAATGAGACAATTTAATTAGATTTTTGTTAAACAGTAAGAAAACGTAAGGTTGTTTTTACATGTTAGGCATATACGGAGAGATAACCAAGTAAACACAAAAGTATCCGATGTCATATAACAAACAAAACCACGGCATGTAATTTGTCTTTCATAATGTAAAAAGCGATAACTGTGGTGCAACGTGCATTAGTAAGCCTAAGTAACACACCTGTCTTAATATATGAAACGAAAAGTTGTACACGATAACGTAATTTTTCAAAGACGAATCAATTACTAAAAATAGCGAATGTATTAACTTGTTTCGAAGTGTTTACATCATTCAGCCTATTCAAACATGGGCCTCACCGATTTTTAAATCCATTTTTCCAAACTGTTTATGCACTCATTTGCTTCTGTCCATTATTTTGTTGGTTCCATTAGCTAAACGGTATTGTAATTAATCCCACTAATTATTGCTGGGATCTCCTATGCATTTTACATAGAAAATGAATTAGCTCTTTACGCTGAAAGTTTGTAATAGGTGTAAAAACATCAAATTACTCAATATGATGCGATATTTGGACCATCTGTCAGCTCATTCAAACATTACAAGTCTTGGATTTTTTATGTCATTTTGTGTGCGTGTGTTGAGTGAACTGCTGTGGAAAAAATTATTCTAGTCACACGAATTATTGGCTCCTTATGTATCGATTTTGTTAGCGAGTCTTTGTTCATCACATAAACTATGTATAATAAAATTAACATGCTTTCTAATATGATACCGTTATTAAGTGTATTTTAGCTAGTTTATTTTATTCCAATACCACAATTATCAATTAAGGAATAATATCTATTTATACAAAAACACGTGTTTGTATTTGCACTGAACAGCTGCGAAAAAACAAATGCTTTGGACCAGACTGAACGAATTTCTAAAATATATATATCTATAAGTGATATAGTATTATTAATCAGGGAGTTTGTAATCTACCCACTCGGACACCTGAACTTGAGAGATCTACAAAATCAATTACATTACAAATTTATAAGCTAGAATTATTATATTCGATTTATTTTTTGTCTGGTTGAAAAACAAAACAGATTTACGTATACAGCTAATTCGCTATTAATAACACACATCCAATAAAGATCCTATTTGATCTTCTTTTGCCATCTTTCATTTTTCAGTTATTTTACTATTTGTAAAAGTCATATGATGGAACATTACTAGTCTATCTATTTATCTATCCATCGTTTTTTTCTAATTTGAGCTGTTGGCCCGCATGGCCAGGTGATCAGGGCGCTCGACTCACAATCTTAGGGTCGCGGGTTCGAATCCCCATCCTACCAAACATGCTCACACTTTCAGCCGTGGGGGCGTTATAATGTGACTATTCGTTGGTAAAAGAGTAGTCCAAGAGTTGGCGGTGGGTGGTGATGACTAGCTACCTTCTTCGTTTATTGCTAAATTAGGCAGATAGCCCTCTTGTAGCTCTACTAGAAATTCAAAACAAACTAACAAACAGCTGACGTTGTTTATTGTGCTATTGATTTTGTACCTTATTAACATTAAAGGCAGTTTAATAAAGCTTTTCGATAGAAAAAGTCGACGATTGAATTGGCCGATTATCTGATAAATATTACCAGTAGCTTATTAGTTATGAAACTTCGTATGATGTATAATAATTTGATAAAGTACTCTTTCTCAGACAAATCAAAAGCAAACGTGTTAGCTGAATAAATAATTTTACAGTGTCAGAAAATCTAATCTGTATTAAAAACATTTTGGACGACAAGTAAATGAATCAAAATATTTCACATTGAGCCTGCGAATACCAAGTAAGCTTTTGAAACAACACTATTCAACACTTTTTTTTTCAAAACTTTAGCATAAAATACGAGCTTAATGAAGGTTTTATCATATCAAACAAAGCGATGAAGGAAAAGGATTACTTTATTCCAGTTATCGGTGTGGCGTAGAACAAGACACAATTAAACATATTTTTATTTTTAAATTATTTGTTAAGAGTATTGCTAGATTCCACTGAAATGATTAACAATTCCCATCCCCCAGTTGAGCATGAGTCCTACAAAACTGCTTAGCTACACAGCTGGGTTTCGAATTTGTAGGAACTCTGGCATAGATGAAATAACAAAGCACCAGAACATACCAAGAAACTGGCAACATCAAAGGAGAAAAAAAGTCACTGTGTATAATAGTATTAAGTATTTAATCAAGTAGAAGGTGTATTGATTCAAATTAATAAGGTAAAATTTTAAATGAATCCAACCTTTTTTTTTAATTTTTTATCACTCGTAGTTATCGGAAATGTTGGATCGTATGTAGGGCGCCGTATGATGTATAACTTTATTAGAACTAATGATCAAACTTTGTGAAATAGTAAGAACAAAACTAAAAAAGTGTGATGTATGACTTATGCCATTTCTCTGCCTTTTTTCCACTTGTCTTTTTAGATATGGGAAGGTGCAGAGTGTGAAGATTTTGTCTAAAAAGGATGAAGACACGCCAACGGTGGCCGCAACTGTAGCATTTATAGACATTCGCTCTGCTGCCAAAGCGCACAATGCAGATAATAAAATTGACGAAAGGACGTTAAAAACTGATTATTATGAACCCCCAGTGTCTAGTGCGGCCAGTTCTGCTACTTGTATTTACATTCACGAGAAAGATGACGCTTTAGGTAGACCTGGTGCGCCTCCATATACTACACCAAGAGCACCAAGATATGCACACTGGTAAGTTACTAGTTAGTGTCGTCACTATAACGCTTTAATTAATTTTCTTTTTTTTAAACCTTCACATTAATGTTTTGTTGTTGCTTTTACTGTATCTATAAATCTCATTATTTAAACTGTTGAATGAGTTAAACAAAGGTGTCAACAAACGTTGTTGGAAGGTAACAAATATATATTACAAATCGTGTTTTAAAATAGCTAGAGTACCGCAAATATGCTAGTTTTTGCGACATGCTTTTGCAGTAAGTGGCTGTATAAGAGATACCATTGTTCGTAGATGGTAGAAAATGTGTAGTGCTGAAAGTCCTAGACATTTTTAATTACAGTTTTACTTTGATCAATTAAAAAGTACTTAACAAAGTAGCCATGTCTAAACTGTATACAGTCTTGATTTTTATGTACCCTAATTACTTATATAATAATTTCCTTTTCTGATTGTACTGTTACCTGATCAACGAAACGTGTATTAGTTTTTAGTGAACTTTTAACACAGAAGCCATTATAATGGAAATTGAAATGCTGTGAGTGTACGTTATTTTATCAATGGATCAAAAAAAAAATACTCTATTGTTTTTACCCTGAGATACAACATTGTAGTTGAACGTTTAGGATACTCATACAGGTTGATTACGTGTGTTGGATTCACTGAACCGTGGAGAACAATGTCTACTACGTGGATATTCTAATTTTTGTCGCCTCTTCAAGCCTTAAATTTTCCCATTGTTATTGTTTTTTTTTATACAAGATTAAAAAACAAGTGTCATCGCAGACTTCAGAAAACTTTTGCAGTGATGTTTGATATTGCGAAGAGTGGATCGATGCAAAATATATAAAAGTTATGTGAAAACTGATTATGTTCAGTTAATTAAGGAACTGTGTTAAGTATGTGAACAGTGAAATTTATTTTGGTGTTGGTTGGTCGTTATCATTACTGATTATTCATTTACATATGTATTTAAATTATAAAATGTGTGAATGGTGTTAGAGTAGAATACGAACAAACTTTTGAAGAAAGCGTATTTTTTGTAACTTTCTCCATTATGCATTTTATATATAACTATACGAAATGCAGGTAAGCAAAAACTTTTAAGAATGTCAACTACAATAACTAATATACCTTGTGATACAGCGTGAGAATTTTAACTTCAAATGATAGTTATAAAAGTACTCTCTCCTGGTAAAAGTAGAAGAAAATTATCAATAAAATATCACTTATTGAATGAATTGTTCAGCAAGACGTGAGAAGAAAAACTTCGATAAAGATAACAAAGAATAAATTTACACGAAAAACTTTTTATAGTGTTGTGCAACGTTTTGGGCAGACGCCTTTCGTGTGGCAGTAAAGACAGTGTGCCCGAAATGTTGCACAAAATGATTTTAATAATTTTTATTTAGGTGTTCTAATTTGAGTTTTATAACCTTTTTTTCCAAATAACATATCACCTTGAGCTTAGATTGTCTACTGAAACTGAAGTAACTCCAGTAATGGATAACTCAAACCTCAAAGTAATGCATGTATACTTATGTTTTTATTTTTCAGGCAATTTACCGATATTCAGAACTGAATCTTCAGTGTTATATATGACTGATTAAAATTATAAAACATTTAATGGTTTTATATTGATAACAGGCAGCAGCTACTATAAGCCTTTGTAAGCAATTATAGGATGGGCTTGAAAATGGAGCATTGGCCGTCTCTGACCTAGTATTGAAGTGAAACTACAGTGACTTATAAGTTAACATGTGTAGACCTAAGTATACCTATGTATATGTACATCTACAAGTACAGTTCCTGAAACTGAGTGTCTTGGAGAAGAGTAACTTTTATTCAAGTCACATTAAGAATATTACTTTTTTGTCATGATTTCTAAAGTTTCATCAAATATTGTAACGCCTGCAGTAAAATAGTTTTTTTAATCATGGATTTTATTTTCTTTTGATATTATAAATACTTATCATTAGTGTTTAATAAAATGCAAAGCTTATAAATTTTTCTCCATGAAACTGTAAAAAGTAATGTTTTTTTTAACTGCACTGATCTAACGCAGGCTTGTTTAGATTAATAAAAAAAAACTAGTTAGTATTTAATTTATTCAGTGCATATTAGTGTATAAAAGACAATTGAATACTGGTAATAAACGACCTTATAACACCAAATTTGTTATATTTCTTTCATTGGAAACATAAAGTTTCGCTTTATAGCTTCTTTAGAATTGTACCACTAAAACACAAACCGTAACTGACAGTACAAAACTTCAATTGCAATTGTAGCTTTGTACTGTCGGTTACGGTTTATGTTTTGGTGGAACGCTCCTGAAGAAGCTGTAAAGCGAAACTTTGAGTGTCTGCTTAAAGAAAAATAACAAATTTGGTGTTATATGGTCGTTTATTACTAGTATTAAAACTGCTTAGCCTAATCTTAACACCAAAACTGTAGATTTACGAACTAGTTAATGACTAATCCTTGATATTGACTATTCTAATACTTTATTGACATTCTTTAACATTTCTTGTCATAAACCTTTTATAAACTAACAGTTTTATCTGCAATTCTACAACGTTCTTTATTAAGCTTATTTTAATTTTTCCTTTCGAGAAACACCCAAATCGAACATTTAAAGAAAACAACTATCAGCTTAATTATTAACGCGTAATAATAAAATAATTATAGGTGAACAGTATCTTGAAAATTTGTATTTAGAAAAAATAAAAATTATATGTTATCATCAAACGTTACGCTTTTTTCCCATTTTAATGAAGTGGAGGTAGGAATGTTTTCAGAACAAAGAAGTTAAAGTACTTATAAGTTAACTTAGGCCTAGATATTGAACAGTACCGTAAAGTTACAATTATACTTGTCATAATACATTCGTTAGTATTAGGCCTATTTTTAAATACTACATTCTTCATCTAGTCCCTAGATAAAGAATGTAGTGTTTAAATATGTAGGCCTAATACTATGTCTTATGACAACTGTACTCGTCATCATTCTTCGCCAGCTTGCAAAAAAAGGGCTGTACACCAGAACAATGCCATAAAGTTGGCAGTATTTGTAAGTCAGACTTAGTCTAATTTTCAAAAACATTAACAATGATTTAAACGCCAGAAATATACTTAAAAAAGTTTCTTCTTTGCGTTATTTTCATGGATACGTAAACTATAACTGGTAATGTCTTGAAAACAAAGGTTAGAAAAAAAAAAGGAAATTATAATTACAGCTTAATTCGTTGACACAATTTCTTTAGAATAGTGTGTAGTCTTCAGATTTTACAAAAACGATGTTCGTACTATCCGTAAGATAATTATAATTTTGGTATTTGTATTAGCACTACACTGATATATTTAACTATATCCGATTCACATTCCTTATTACTGGAAGCAAATTTTATTTCAATTTAATGATACATTTTTTTTCAAGTAAACAGATTTGAAATACCAAACAAAGTTCTACTTGTGCTTCATAGAGATTCGTTTCAAATAATGTTTGATATTGACTTTCTGGTTTGGTACATTTTGAAAAGATTGCATTGTGTTAAGTAGTGCCCTATATTATTAATTCACTTCATAAAATATTTTATATGATGTGCTGGCTTTTATGTAAAGAATCCCCAATATAATAATCGTATTTTGGATTGTTATTTTATTTGCATTTTTAGCTTTAGCCTTTTTGTTTTCTAAATAACAACACAAATAAGCCGCAATCACACAAAACTTGAGATGACAAATTTCAGGATGCACTCCACCAAGTAATAGTTATCTGGAAAACGTCTTTATATTTTCTCTTCATACTTACATTGATCTTCACGGATAGAAAAAATAATACACATATATTGTTATAAGTTATATTTTTAAAGTTACACTGAACCAGCCAGTGTTTTTTTTTTTGTGTGTGTGTGTGAAATATTTGGATCTATGTTTGCTATCACACTTATTGATTTACTTTGTACAAGCAAGTTGCCCGGCAATCTGTGGGTCGCGGGTTCGAATCCCCATCCCACCAAACATGCTCGGCCTTTCAGCCGTGGGGGCGTTATAATGTTACGGTCAATCCCACTATCCGTTGGTAAAAGAGTAGCCCAAGAGTTGGCGGTGGGTGGTGATGACTAGCTACCTTCTCTCTAGTCTTACACTGCTAAATGAGGGACGGCTAGCGCAGATAGCCCTCGTGTAGCTTTGCGCGAAATCCATAACAAACAAACAAGTAAGTTTATTTGTTATACGTTTGTTATCCTCACTTGTAACGACGGCCTGTAACAATTTATGACAGCGTACAATTGTTCAAACTTCTAGAAACGTTAAAGGATGACATGAACTAATTTCTAATAGCTTAAATTGACTGGACTTTGAATTTCTTTTCGCCATATAGTTTAAGAGAACGCGCTAACGAAAGAACAATCTTACTCGACTGATGTCGAAAGAGAGGTATTATTTTGGTTAAAATATAATATAACTTGAATACTTGAAACATATCTTTGATTGTAGAAGATGACAACCAAAGGGTGAGAGTGAAGCATTAATTGAGATAATGAAATTACTTAGACAATATCAGGAAGATATCTACAGAAAAAAAAATTAATAGGAAGAATGAGATAGAAAATTTAAAGCTGAAAAAGGAAGAGAAAGGAAATTATAAGAAGAAGAAAAAAGAAATAGAAAATTCAAAGAATACCAGGAAGAACAAGGACAGAAAATTTGAAGATACACACAGGAATTTATAGGAGGAGTTAAGAGAAAAAGACATATTATCTAAAGAAGAATTAAGATGGAAAAAAAAATCTTATTGAACAAAAGATCGATGAAGCTACAAGGGACATACAGGAGGATTATTCAACAAACAGTGAAGAAATCAGATGTGATAATAAAATTGAAGACATACAAAAATAAAAATATCAACAAGGTGGAAAAGAGCATCACCGAGGTTGAAAAGAACATCATTGACAGAATACCATTTCTGGGAAAGGAATTATTTGAAGATTAAACCAGGCAAACTTCTTACTGAA